GCCTGGCGCGGCTCCGATCTGAGATCAATTTCAACAGGTCATGGATTAAACAACTCCAATCCAGCTCAGAAACACAATGTCACTGCATCAAAGGTCGTCTAATACAACAAAGTAGGTCCAGACACTGAAAACACTGATGAGACAGACAACAGAGCTGGCTGTGGAAAACCATGCTGTGATTAACTAAGTCTGCTTGGCAGCAAGAAAGCATTCCATGTGCTCTAATAAGCGTGGATGAGTTTTTGGCTTCGGTCTCCACATGCGTTTTCTGCAGAGTAAAGACATTTTGTGCGCATGATGTATTCAGCAAGTCAAAACACCTCTTTTGGGAAACGTAAAAGCAAACTTATCAATCAAATTGTGTGTGTGTGTGTGTGTGTTCCTCTGTAGACGTCTACCGGAGATAAAAGATCTCAGATCAAACTGATTTAAAGAGTTTGGCAACAGGGAAGACAGCAGCAATATTACAAATGTAAGACTGTTTATGGTCGTTAAATCAGTGTGAGGGCTTGAAATGTATGAGCAGACTTGTTAATGTTAAATTAACACCTGCAGGCTGGTAATTAGAATAACACGTGTGCTCTAATAACATTCTTAATTTGTGGGTGTTTTTTCTCTTCCTTTGAGAGGCTGTTGTAGCAATTTAACAAAGCTATTAAATGTGATTGGCCTGCAGTGAAAAAGTCTTATTGTTTCATTGTGGTCAGAGTTATTCACTCAGTCTCACACACAGTGGGGTTTGGGTTCACTCTCACATCAGAGAGAGATGAAATGAAAACTGTTACAGCATCAAAGTTGGACTGAGTGAAGCTGCCGAGTATCTGAGAGGCAGTGGAAGAATATCCATCTGGACACAAGGCACTGAGCAAGAGATGTAATCAACTCCAGCTGAGAAAATGTGACTTAATACACCAGTCCGCTGTTGTGACTGGGTGTTAAACAGCCCTCACACATGATGTAGCTCTCGTTATCGGTGCATCAGCAGAGTCACAGTTTACAGAGGATGGAGAGGAAAAGTAGGCTACAATGTGACAAAAGCAGAGTATCATTCTGTGGGTTCTCTGGAGAACAATAGTAACATAACGTTACATTTTACATAGCAGTACATGTTGGTAGAAAGTTCAGGGTTTGGATAACGTATAAAGGCTCCTGTATATTAACGAATTTCAAAACCCTATATATACACAGATATATATAAATATAAAAGGCACGCGACTACAGGTGACAGACTTTTACTTTAACCGTCGTGGTGCTAGCTAATTAAGAAGGCAGCAGCTAGCGTAATTAGCCCTGTGTTAACTAAACATATCTAACATTAGCCGGAGAACTTTTTAAGAGTCGCACATGGTAAAAAAAAAAATGTCGTGAAACAAAGTAGCATGTTTATTCTGCACTGGTTTAAGAGGCTCCACAGGTGTGGCGCCACTCTTACCTGTCTGAAGCATCCCGGAGCCGGACTCGCCTCCAAAATCATCGTCAGGTGCGGCGGAGCTCGTGGTTAAGAGCCCGAGAAGGCAAAGCGTCCATTTAAACAACCCGCAGAACATCTTCCAGGTTTAATCACTTTTTGTAATTAAGATGTAACGACATGCAAATGAGCGAACCAAAACGTGTTCTGCATATAAAACTATCTCTAATGAGGCGGCTCTCATTAGTCAAACGTGAGGGACATTGCTGAACGGCACTTTGTTTCTTGAAGTTGGAGTGAGACACAGAGTAAGTTCTCATCCTCTTCACCTCTGCTCCTCCTCCTCAGACAGAAGCAGCAGCTTCTCTCCTCCTGACCTGCAGCTGCATCACATCACACACAGGCGCCAAACGAGACATCGGAAGCCCCGCCCCGCTCCTGTAATGCGGACCAATTAAAATCCTGCAGGGCCTCCGCCCATTTAGTTCAAAAGCCTTTCTGCAACTTGGCTGCGAATTGGTCAGTTTGCACTTGAAAGACTGATTTATTTCTTTGGTCTCCAAGAGACATTTGATCCTTTCATCACTGCAGCACGAGACAGATGATGCTGCAGCTAAATGACCAACGGACGGGTCACTATAAAGCTCCGTAAAGCTTACAGAAATATGGCTCATGTTTTCATTCATAATTAATAACATTAAAACAATTTTCATTTGATGATATCATCAGGGTAATGACCTCAAGACTTGACAAGCTCCTCCAGAGTCAATGTAGACATAATACAACTGTTTTCACAACACAAGGAAAGTTATCAAAGTGATCTATTTAACTTTAGTGCATTCCCCTTTAATATCAGTTACAACTTGTTGGTCTGTCAGTTGAAGGTCAAAGGTAACCCATACTGCATAATTTGTTCCAAAGGAGCAGAAATAACCAGCCAAATTGTATCTAAATATATTTACACCATCACCAACTTAACATCTTCATGACAAACACAATCATTTTGAGCCATAGAGGAATTGAACTGGATGTAGACTTGGGTTCCTGATTTCATCTGGATCTTGATTAAATAGATTCTTTAAGATCCAATGTGTCAATTACTGAATCTGTACATCATTTTTCTTTGGCAAAAAGCAATGTAAAAACATCCAGCTATTTAACTCAAGAACTTATCTGGCAACACTCAAGTTCAAATGTAGAGCTTTGTGTTTAAGTTCTATATATGCTCTATTCAAATTCAAAACCCAACTCTAATCACAAAACAATCTTCAAAGATCTACATGTTCCGCTTTCATAATCATACCTCTTTATTCAAGGACTTATATTCATAAAATCTATGTGTACAGTTGAAATGACTGTGGGAGAGACAGTCAAGTAACAGATCAGGCAGCGAAGGACTCAGCCACTCCAGAACCTCTCTTCTGAGAAAGAGCCTTGTTTCCACTTTGGTGGCTCTGTGATAAAATGTCATTCAAGCTCTTTCTTTCTTTCTTTTTGTCTTCACGTGAAAAAGATACATTGTGTGTTTAGATAATCAGAAAAACACAACCAGGAAACAAATTGTACAATTTGTGGACTGAATGAAGTCTACTTTCAGCACATGCACATTTCCATTTCAGAACACGCAAACAGGACATCTCTAGAGGGGGCGGTAAGAGTAAAACTGTAGGAGGAATACTTGGCAACCTGTTCATGTTGGAGGCCTGAAACTGTTGGATATTTTGAAAAATCTACCGTAGAGATGAACACAACTCTCTGCTCCAATATGGCGACTTACAGCAACGTCCATGGACCGAAAGACGACGAGCAATCTGTGACGTCACCTTTACAAAGAACAGAGCCACGCCTAAAGTTAGGCCTCACTGCTTTGAAGTCTAAAATGTCTCCTTTTCGATGACCCATGAAATAGATTGCACAAATAAGAGACAACAGGAAGTACAAATTAAAACACAAGGAAATAACCTGACTTGGATCAAAATATATTTGCAAATAATTTACACGTCCATAAACTTGCTTAGAGTCAATACAAGGAGCACCAAGAGATTTAGACACCGAGACTCGAGTCCAAGTCACAGTGACTCGAATCCACATCTCTGACAAAGTGACAGATAATCCTTCAATGTGCAACATCTGTATGACTCAACAAGATCCCTCACTCACAATTATGACAAATCCTTTAAAAAAAAATATCTGCACCAATTACCTAATTTAAATCTGTAGGTTTTCTATCAAACAACTGCATTCAACTGTATCATGTGTTTTAAAGGTCAAGCTTTGTGATATTCTATATGTTTCTTATTTTCAATTTAAAAAAACCCAACCAAACATTAATGACTTTAATTATAAGTATTGTGTGTGTATCTAAAAGCTGACATAAAGGGGCTTGTTCCTATGTGCTGTAGAGCTCCATTGTTTCTAAAAATAAAAAAAATAAAAAACTATCAAATATACATCAATGAGCCACGCAGTTTTGCAATGGGTGACATGTTCCTTACTTTGAACACACACCGTTTATTTGGATCAATCCCACAGACACCGTCCTCCTTCCCATGAATGAAGACGGGAGCATCTGATTCCACGGCTGAAAATAGTCCCCAACAAGTACACTGTTTACCCGTTTGAATAATGTTCGCTAAACCCAGCTGTTTTGGGAAACAACCGAGAACGTTTTAAAAATGAAACTTTAAATTTGTAAGAAGTTTTTAGAGATGTACGTCGTGAGTAGGAACCAGAGTAGGGAGATGTGCCGTCATCACCATGAATATGGCCACCGTGGCATATTTTGAGTCAATGCACATACGCCTTCTGGCTGCCATTAATACTCAGTACAGCACCAAATGAGTATCAATCCGCAAGTGAAAATAGTACCCAACAAATTGATTCATGTATGCGTTTACCAGGGACAGCACATTAATCAACATTTCCTGTTTACCCCTCAATGTAAATGTGCCAGAGTTGGCAAGAGAGCCAATTACCATCTGTAGTCCCTGTGCAGGTTATTACAATTTAGTGGCCCAATATTATCACAACCTACTCCTGTTTAAGTAACATTTGTTAAAAAATATAATTTTATATATATAGACATATAGACATATAGATATATAGAGATATATAGATATATATATATAGATATATAGAGATATATATAGATATATATATATATATATATAGATATATAGATATATATATAATAATTCCGAGATGTTTTTGGAAATGACTGAGCCTTTCCTAGCAGTAAGAATACCCGTGACTCTTTATGTATTTGTAAAGGTCTGTTTCCATTAGGAACCAGTGGGCCACAGACAGGGAAATATAGTGAAAGACAGATTCACACATTGTTGGCGTTGGTCTTTTCGTGGAAACAACAAAATTATTAAATATTATGAGGCTTTTCTTTAGATATGTTATGCCCAGTGTGAAGTGGGGGGAAAGTATTGCCAATAAACCGAAGCAAAATACAGCCTCGTGTCTGGGTCCAGCTCAGCTTTTAAGGACACACTGCTGGTCCTTTAGGCTCATGTAGAGCTCTAGTAGTACCACACAAATGTTAGTTCAGCCTTTTGTTATTGACAGAATACACTCACACTAAAACCACTTTGTCAATCCCATTTATCTGGCTTTCCAAGAAAACCACCAAAAACACAACTTAACCCAAGTCTGGAAAGAACACAGTTTTATGTTTTGGGTGGTTCTATCTTAGGCGTCATGCAGTCAACTTGCCAACTTCAAAAATGCCCTGTGATTCACATATATCAGCTCGGATAGCATTTGTGCCTCAGTGTGTGTTGTCAGTTAACTGTACATCATGAGATACATTTACAATTTACAACTCTTCATACATCAATGTAAAATTTGGTCGCAGCCACACTAAAGCCTGAACCTGGAGATTCCAGAGGGTAAAGCTACAGGGCAGATGAAGTGTCGTCTTGTTGCATAGCCCTATTTTAAGTCAACAGTCTGCGGCAACAACACAACTCTTTATTGTACCTGTGGACACACAAACAGGTAACCTCTCCTACAAACCCTCACACAATACTGCTCTCAGAGGAAACAGTTAAGAAGAAAGGGAACCCATGAAATTTGGGCAAATATGGCAGAGATGAGATATACACTGTATGCTTGAGGAGGCAGAATTTTTGTAGGTTAGAAATAAAAAAAATGGCACTTTTCTGCATTCAGAGACTATTTCTACCAACTGGCTGGCAGTATATTTGAAAGAGAAAGGCAAATGCTTACCACACACCCTTAAGCAAAAGTACAGACACTATTTTTTGACAAGTTCAAGACCCTGGCATGCACTACATTGCTTACTTTGGATCTGTAATTCTCACACACCTACAACAAGATTCAGTACAAAAAGTGTTAGTTTTTTTTTTTTTTTTGCATTCTGTCCATTATACCAGATTCAAACTTTGTTCTCTACACTTTTTCTGTGTAAATACTTACATCCCCTACTGTGTGTTCAAGTCCATCTGACCAGGCTGCATCTTAATACATCTTGGAAAACGAGGCACTTAGTATTCAGCCACATAACGTCAGAAGTGAGTTATCGCGTCCCTATGTGCACTCCAAATATGTACATGTGGTACAATTTACAAAAACTGTGATCATGAAAACTGGGCTCTAGTTCCATTCTAACCCCTCCTTTTGATTTATTGTTGTCACATTACTCACCGTGTCCCTTAGTTGTCATGGTGGAAGTTTAAGACGCATTTAAAATAGTTCCTAATAATGTTCTCTGGTCAGAATTTGGGGGATTACCCCCCGAAGTAAAAGCTGATGAAGAAAAGAGAATTTGGTGAAAGCGTCAACATGATCAAGTTGAAACTCTTCTCTCACCCGTACGGCAACCACAAACAAAATGAAACGTACAAAAATAAAAACAGTGTTGTGAGTAGCCGTATTAACGCCAGGACTGAGGCTTTCAGATCAGTCTGAAGCACACAGTTTCACTCAACGAATGACGAGGTTTTGGCTTTTATCTTCTGCTCCATCACTGATTTTAAAGGCCAAGGCAAAAATACTTAAGGGTCTTCACAGGTGCTATGATTTCCAGTGCAAGTAAAGGGGGTAGAAAGAGTCAGTGTATTTTTTATTCCTTAAAAGTTTGTTGTATAAAAAAGTAGAGCAACACTACAAAGCTGGAATGATTTCGGATACCCTTTTACAGCACTTTCCACTGGCTTTTTCCCTTAATATCTTCCCTTCTATTCCCATCAGCGCCTTGGACCCGACGAGAGCGCTGTGCCACACTGACGAGCTGCCCGTCCTCGGTTAGCACCAGTCCTCTTCCTCCCTCTCCCTGAGACTTCCCGTTCCTCGGCTCCCAGGCACGGACGCAGAGTTGACCCCGAGGGTGAAGTGGTACCCGTTGGGAACCACCCCCGCCCCCCTACCCTGCGCGCCGGCCGCTGTGACGGGCGCAGCGGCGGTTCCGTGTGAAGTCGAGGCCGTGGTGGAGGCAGCGGTTCTGGCGGAGCGTGCCCCTCCGTGGCTGCTCACAGTGTCCTGGAAGTCTTCTTCAAGGAGGGCCTGGTGAGAGGCGACCTGCGACTGTCGGTTTAAATTAGGGTCCGAACCGATGCGGGTGACCGGTATCGGGGACTCGTCGGTGCCCCAGTGTAAGCGCTCATGCTCTGAAAGGCCACGGCTGAAGCGAGTCTGGTGCCCCGTCGCAGCGGTGCTGGCACCGGACTGGAGAGGCGAGGAGTTGGCGGTCTTGTAGGTCACGGCGGGACGAGGGGTTAGGGGCGTCTGTGGGAGCTGCCTGCGACCGCGGCCTGGTGTGCTTGAACCAGAGGGGAGCGTTCCAGGGCCAGCTTTGACCACACTGCTACCATGCTGAGGAAACACACAGTAGAGTTATTTTGCTTTAGGGACAAGGTACTTCTCCACATACAGTGAGGGCTGTAAGTAAACAAACTAGAGGTTAAAGAGCAACATAAAACCCCCTGGAAATCTAGTTTTCCCTGACCTTAAATATAATGTCACTTCTCACCTTGCTGCAGTGACGCAGAAGTGTACTCCAGGGTGACTCAGCACACCGTGACATCACTGTTGGGTGTGGTTACAGGTGCAACCGAGCACATTCCTGACCACACGCAACCACAGCCATCATCACCGTTGTTCCAGAGGTGAAACAAGCTTTTACTCAGACAGGCTGGTGTTAAGTTACTCTTTACAGTTCCAAATTGTAGCGTTCATTTCAACAGTCTAGTCTAACAATTGCAGCCGTTTTGATGTATAATCTACCAAATTTTACAGTTTGGGTTGGTTTTATTCTGTCACAATAAAACAGTGTCTAGATAACTTACCGCTGTTTGGCTATAAAAGCTTCTTAGGTAATGTATAGAATCATTGTTCTGCTGCGTTGTCGTAAAATTGGGAGTGCACTGAATATAAAGGGCAACAATTCCTACACTGTTGGCCAAGTATGGATGTGAACACCCTAAAACTAAAGCTGAAATACAGCCCTAAAACCTCATAGTAGCTGTTTCTTATTCAAATCCAATGTGCTCGGGTACAGAGCCAAAAGAATAAAACATGTGTCACCGCCCAAAATACTGACAGAGCACAGGGTGTTCACGACTAGCTCGCTGTTAATCACTACGTACAGCGTGGCAGGTAACTGACCTGTTTGACAAAAACAGCGTCCTGTCCCTCTCCGGGAGACGTGGATCGGCTGGGCCCGGCTGACTTGGTGTGACACTGCTCCCTGCTGCCGTAACGCTCGCAGGAGTAGTAGCGCTGCTTCTCTCCTGCCGAGGAGTGGTGCCTCCTCTCGTGAGGCCGGCTGCGGTCCCGCTCTCTCGCCCGCTCTCTGGACAGACCTTCAGCTGAAGGGTCGGTGAACGAGTCTGGAGGATGGCAGCATCAGATTAAATGAGATAGGGCAGGTAGAAAACACAGAGCTCTCACTTTTATCATCTCGTCATCTCTTCTGGATGTGGAGACAAAATGAAACTTTCAGTCAGCATAGTTTGAGATTAAAGCTTCCCTGTGGAGTTTTTGAACGCTTGTGGCCCTGTGGAGCCATGTCTTTACGAACGGGTCTTCATTTTATTTCAATCACAAGGAACACGATTTCATATTTCTACAGCCAGTTACACACTTCTGCATTGATTGACAGTTGGCGGCCATAACACAGTAAGTGTAGCAATGCTTTCAATTAAAAGCAGAGAAGAAGAAGACTGAAAGTTAATAAACAGATGTAAACAATGCAACTGCACAATAAAACTCCGCTAGCTTCATTTTTCATTCATTCAAATGACAGGTATCGTATATGTTGCTTTCAACCATTGGTCTTAGTGTCCTCCCACTGGGGGTTACCAGAGTCAGACATTTAGCATGCAATATAGACGTCATCAATCTGATTTTAAGAATGTAAAAATGGCTAGATAAAGATGCCTTCACCTGGATGAATGCATGTACGCATTGAATGTGTTATAACTCTGTTATGCTGTTCATTCTGTACACATGACATCTATTGCACTGCTGTCCATGCTGGGAGAGGGATCCCTCCTCTGTTGCTCTCCCACAGGTCTCTCCCTCTTTTCTCCCTGCTAAAGGGTTTTTTGGGGGAGTTTTTCCTCTTCCGATGTGAGCGTTCCGGGACAGAGGATGTTGCATTTGTACAGATTGTAAAGCCCTCTGAGGCAAATTTGTGATTTTGGGCAATACAAAAATAAATTGAATTGAATGAAGTGCAAGTATCTTAACTTGTTTGGACAAACAGGCTCCAAACATGTTAGTTGGCCTGTAAGTAAATACAGGTTACATGTCACGGTACGACACAGAGCATCATTTACATGCTGTACAAATGCAAACCAAGTCAATGGAAATATACAAACAAATCAAAGCAGTTGTAGATCTACAACATGTAACGAAGACACATCTTCTGAGGTTACAACTTCAGTGAAAACATGTGGTCCAAGAGGAGGACTGAAACCCAACTGCTGAGGTGAAAGTGAAGTGACACACTGTCTGAATTCAGCCGGCTCATTATCTCGTAGTGAAAGGGAACACTGGCGCTTCTCGTCTCAGCCAAATGATTTATGCAACATAGTGATCCAGTTTTCAGTTCCGCGCTACGGATCATGTTTTTGTACCGTGAGCTATTATTACACAATATTACATTACACCTCTAATTAAAGGCAAATGGCTCATCTTTGTGTGTCTGCGTGTGTCCATCTAGACCACGGGTGTGTGGCATAAAGCAAAGCACTGTGGTGAAATTACTCTCTGGAATAACTCCAGTTTTCAGATTAAAACCGCGATGACAGGAACACAGAAGCCTATTCATCATTCTGATATGTCACATCTGCCTCCAGAATGACAAGCTTTGAGGAGTGAAACTCTCCTTGCTGCTCCTCTCAATTCGGTAGATGAAGAGGGGGCTGCTGGATGTTCTGCTATCTCAACAAGAGGTTCTCATAAATCTAGTGCTGGACCTGTCCACTGTGGCCTTTTATCTCAGCAATAAAGCCCAGCTGCTGCCCTCCAGTGTTAACATATAGAAAAACCACCCTGCCACCAGCTCTCAGGCTGTAATCGCTCTAGCAGACGACCCCTGATGGCTAACAAAGCGTGGACATAACCCGCTATACTGCAAAAAATAATAGAGCGTCCTGAAACCTTGACATGAGTCAGCATTGTTGCGTTCCGGTTCCCTCGTCTTAAAGTCAATGTTTTGTTTAATGGGTTTTTGGTTAGATGCCAGAAATAAGCTCAATATATTTTAACGTTTTGTTCTACGACATGAAATACTTCAGGTAATAAGGGACTAGTAAATTTTGGAGCTCTTACCCATCTTAAAAAAAGTTGGTTGCTAACAAGTGGCTAAATGAGACATTTGACGTTAGCCATTTACTTCTGCGATTGCATTCGGGCTTAAATACCACAAAAGGTGGTGTTCATTTGTGAAGATTATCTTGCTGAACAAAACACTTACTTCTTTTCTTTTGTCAAGGGAACCAGTGCAATGCTATTCCGGGTTTGGCCTTCAAAAAAAAAACGGCATCACTGCAGCTCTCAATATGATTAGGTATTACGTTGCATTAATCAGCCTTAAAATGTTGCTCACTTTCCATGCACATATATGATAAGTTTGGATTATTCTTGGTGGTGCATTCATGGACACTGTAACAATGTGTCACCTAAGATTTAAGAGCTGGCTCAAGAAAAGTAAACCCAACATGGGCAGTGTGAAAAGGATTATATGAACTACGGATTTCTTGAAATGAAAGGGTTACCGTTACTGCTCAGCTGACTCTGAAGTGTCTGAGCATCCTTGAATGCACCAACATGCCTACTTGGCTTGGATGTTACTGCTTTGATGTAACTGCTTTCATGCATATTAGTCTGACAGAACACAGGCGACCTGTAGTGACGGTCTGCTGATCCGATATATAAGGGGGACAGGGGTGACCACAATCCTCTTTGGAAGATCACCAGCTTGTACTGAATGCTGACAAGACAAAATGTGTTATATTCTGAGAAAGTTTTCATCCCAGCAATCCATACACTCAATAGTACTGAAATTGAAATTGTCAAATCGTATAAATATCTGGGAACTTGACGAGACAGACAAAGTCTCACTTTCAAACAGCATGTGGAGCAAGTGGCACAGAAAGTAAAGATACAAATTGGTTTCTTATATTGGAATGAATCTCTTTTGTGTCTTGAGGGCAGAAAAGCAATCAGTCAGTCACCGTGCCTGTGCTTGACTGTGAAGATTTTGTTCTCACGCTGCTCACTCTGCCTTTAAACATCTTGTCATTGTGCTTTGTGTTCCATGACAGAATACAATCTATGGTACTCATCACTGTGTACTATATACATAAGATATACTATATACTATAAGAATAAGAAGACTGGTCCTCACTAGCAACAACAGCAGAGCTACATTCCATACATTTCTAGTTACTCCTCGTGCAAAGACTGAACTTAGGAACACTGCCTGCTGGATGATTTTAAACTCTTCAACCATATTGATTGATGTCTGTGATTGTCTCTGGTGCTGTATGTGCTTTTATTATGTCTGGCTTTATCCTCTGTACATTATGAACTTTTGTCTGTCTGGTTATGTTTGCTGTATGGATTTGTCATTTTGTTATGTCTGGCAGTGTTTGTTTGTCTTTCTCTCTGCTGCACTCTGGTCTCTCTTGCAAAAGATATATTGATCTCGATGAGGTTTCAAATTCACTTTCTTGTAGGGTGGCTCATTTTATTTCCATGAATTTTACAAATAACCCCAAAATTCAGCTTGAGTGCAAAACGTGACCTCATTAATGGCAAACAGCCAATAACTGCTTTTATTATACCAGGAGATTTTCACTTAATCAAAATCTCTTTTGCAAGGGAGTCCTGGCCAAGACGCGTGTGTGTCGAAAGTACAACAAATGGAATTGAGATGTACTGTACAATATATACTACGTCTTTTTACAGTATGTGAGAATTATGAATAAACAGTGTGGGTGTATGTCAAACAAAGACAAAACGTTTTTCTTGATGTGGCACAGCTTGTTTCCGTTTCATTTTTCTTTTATGAAGAAAATGTAAGTTTAACCCTTTTAAGTTCAATTGTGCAGCTCCAAGTGTGAAGTCTGTAAAGCCCAGTCTACATTCTATAAATGTAACTGTTAAGGCCAGAGGGAAGAAAGGGAGCAACTGATAGAAAAAAGGAGAAAGGAGATTTTCCTCTGAGAGCTCACAAGTCTTTCTGCTAATCAGATGGAAAGCCTGACATGTAAAATCCCTGGTTGAAGCGCAGCAGAAACCCCTTCACCTACATAAACCGATCATGGAACTTTAATCCGATAAAGAATTTCTGCAGCTACGTTGAGACATCCAAGTAATCTACGAGGGAAGCCTGGCGAGCCATCGCCGTCTCTCCATGAAAGAGACAGTGATGTTTCTATGTGGACACTGCCCGCTGCATTATATGAATTAATATTGCTGTGATAAAGGAATTAATCTCTCGTCAACCTAAACATATGCACCTCAATTGACTATTTGAATTACTTTGTTCATATTAAGCTCTATGTGATGACATATTTCTTTAATTTTCCCGTCTCTCATTGAAATAAATGAGAGGGCATGCATTTTATTCATGCAGTGCTAATGTCAGTTCCATGACCTCAGAGATCAGTTACCTCCAGTAGGATGATTGACAGCCTTTCATTGTCGCAATTTATAATCTTAACTCATCAAATTGAAGTGTGTTTCTGTCTCACCAACAGTGCTGGACGGCTGCATTGACTCAGCTCTATCCAGGGACTTCTGCTTCTTGTCTTTGTCCTTGTCCCTCCGTCTATGGCAGCGGTGGTGGTGGTGATGGTGGTGGGCTCTGTCCTGGCCGTCGACTTGGGCCAAGCCGGGCCGGTCCAGGTCATACTCTGACAGACCGACCTCCTGGTAGCGCTGCGGCGTCAGCGAGGACGCCGAGCGCCTGATGGGACTGAGGTCAACGATCGGCTACGAGTGGAAGAGAAACGTGAAGAAGCATGAGGAGAAGGTACAGCGGAGCAGAGGGGGCGACCGTGGTGGTTTTACCCAAACCACTTGTACTGGATCACCAACATATCCACAACACACAAATCTACCGACGTTCTACCCGTTCTTCTCCAGGCACAGATGTCAGAAACATTAGAGAAGAATGAACACACTTGAATACTTACTGTTTCAGAACTTACATGATTTGTAAGCTAGCAGCTGTCTCTGCTAGTGAACAAAGAGGTGGGGTGTTGACACTGGCCTTTGTGGCATTTTCAATATGCAACTTCTAGTGTAATCTTTCTGTTAATAGCCAACACTTGATATTTTACTTAAAGGAATACACCACTAAAAATAGATGCCTATTTCAGAAGGAATTCTGTCAATTTATCTTTTTTTGCATGGGCACCGTTGTTGCATCTTGGGCTTAACGCCACTGAAGACAATTGTAATTGGTTTAAAAAAAACAAAAAAAATGCAGCATTTGTTTCCCTCAATGTGAAACGATGAGGGTTTTGGACTGGATCTAACTTTAGATCTGCTCTATATTTGATTTCAGGTGGTTTTAATGGAAGTGATGCCTTTTCTGTTGCTCATTCCATGTGACATTGTTTTTCTGCCTTGTTCATGCCAGTGATATCTGCAAAAGGAGGTGTAAACTGCTGTTTGATACTCAAAGCTTTAAACCTGCAATAACAGGCTTTTTGGCCACTTGGTGGCCACGGAAACAAGTTATGAACACAACATTTACATATATCATCTTTTGAGTTGATATAAGCAACTTGTTCACAAACAGTTGCTTATTTACACATCCAGCAGTTACAGAGCAACATCATCATTGTCATTTGGAGTTGTGTTTCTGGCCACCTATAAATATACATCTCTCTCTTGACACATTATATCCACCAGCTAGTTGCCAACCGTACCATTCTGCTGTTTGGTGCCGAGCAGGTTGTGTATGGTTACTGCTTACTGCTCACTATAAAAGCTCTGTGAAGCTAAAGGGAGCTGCCTATTCAGCTGATAATTCTCTGTAGTTTCAGCACAAGCAACCCCTTTCACATTGTCCAAACATCGTCATGGGATATATTGTTATTGTAACATGTTGATTATAGGGCCTTTAAGTATTCAGAGGTGTTTTCCTTTTAAATTTTACATTCACCAATTTCCCTCCAGAGAGTAATTATTTACCTAATGCTGTGAGGACATTGACACGCACCCCACCTCATTCTTATCTGACTGACTGGTACAGCTACCAGGTAACAAACTGATGCGATAGGGAACAGGACTAGCAGCTACGTTACCACCCCACCTGCTGGTTACTGCCTAGATTATATCTGATGATTTTAGGTACTTAGATATTTGAGGATTTTAGTATTTACCTTGATTCCTCTCGTGCTAACATGTATTTATTCATGATAAGAAAACCTGAATGAATTTGATTGAATTGCTCTTTCACAGACAGGGGTAGGGTGGTTGTGCCGTTCCTCTTGTTCCTACCCCACAGCTTAGCGTGTAGCTGAAGTCAGGGACAACAATATCACAACACTACGGAAAGTATCCATATTACAAAGTCATTTATCTAGTAAGCAGTCTTAGAATCTTACTTTTTAGATAAATGTCATAATATGCTGTTAAAAAGAGAGAAAAACAATCCCTCTGTTTCTTTCAAACTAATAAAAGAGTCTGAAAATGAGGGTAAATAAAATATTCAAGAGATAAATCAGACTTGTTTAGTTCACTTTTGATTTCATGTGTGAAAAATAAGATTTTAAGACTGAAAGTAACATCAAATGACAGATAAGGTCGGACGGGGTTTTTGTTTAGTTATTTTGAAGAAAGAAAGCAGCAGTACTGTCCCGGCCTTGTTCCACAATCACAAACCAACTAACAAAAAATAAATAAAAATAAACTACACACTACTACACTACTACATAACGAAACTCACATACAGTACACATAACCAGATTTTACCAAAGTGTGGTACTGTACTGCTGTAGTAAATGGCTGTAAAGCGGGACCGAGTGCTTGACATACCCGGGATACACAATACAAATACCTTTCCAGGGATTTGGTTTTATTTTGTGGGCAATGTCAATTTGTGTGTTGCATGTAATGTATCTAAAAGCAATTTCATGGAATGACCAGAGTATACTGTATATGTAGGAGGGTCACTTTGTCCATGATGGCAGGAGGGTGTGAACTCTGCACTGAGATGAGAGGAGCGCATGGAGGCAAACACACACATGAGAGAAGAAGAAGAGGGAGAGGAAGAGAGCGGTGGCACAACAGGTGGTACATACTGCCAGGTGGGTCCCAGGGACGTGGCGAGGGTGGCTCCGCTATCAGACAGCACACACAAGAGGGAGGTGGGCAAAACATTAGCAGTGGGCATTGAAATTAGGACAAGGGGAAGACAGAAGATTAGAGAAGAGAGGCTCAGGCTGGGGATATTCTCTATTTTCTTATTACACATATAAACCGGATAAAAAGACCAAAACCAACAACGCCAATCCCACTAACAATTATTGTGTGCGTGTGTGTGTGTGTATCAAAGCCTGATATATCTTTTTCCTCTGTGCCAGAGAGCTCTATTGTTGTTAAAAACACATCAATGAGTCACACTGTTTCACTTGGTGACATGTTCCTTCATCACCATGAACACACACACCGTCCTGCGAGTGTAAATATTCAGTGGAGCACCAAATATGTATTACACAATTAAATATAGTCCCTGATAAATGCACTATTTTCTCCTATTTTAGTGACATTTGCTAAAATGTACAGTGCCCAGCTGTTTTATGAAATACTAAACAATTATTGGAAATATTTTGGGGGTTTGGTCTTTTCAGGGGATTTGTTGACAATAACAAAAATATAAGATAACACCAGCCTTACACTTTAAAGAGAAAGAGAGAGCGGGAGATCAAAATGCAACATAAACATAAGGAAAGCACGTGTTTAGTGTTGTGGTAGAGAGCAGGGTGACAGAGAGAGAGTGAGGGAGACAAATACACAGAGACAGAGAGAGAGAGAGAGACAAACAGGGAAACTAAACAGACAAGATCAGACAGGTGAGACAATCCAGGAAACAGAGAAGTGATGGACAGAAAAATCATCCTGACATGACATCCGTATGCAGCAGACAAGTGCAGCTACTGAAACTCACAGAATGACAGTAAGACAAGTCAAAATAGATAAATAGATAAATGTGAATGTGAAATTCATAAAGAAATAAATGGATCCCTGCATGCAGGCAAAAGCTAAGTTGTTACATTAGAATATTGTATGGAATATAAAAAAGATGGATGATAATTGTATTAGTGAGGTCAACTAAATACATTTAAAACATTTTCAAAATAGCATCCTTTAGATTTTCTACAACAATTCATCTTTTACATGATCAGGTTAGTGTGATGAAGGTCAATACTTACTGCAGCAGGTGAATACAGTATCTGTATTCCATCTAGTTTAAATACAACAGGGCTGAATGAAATGTATCATTTGATTTGTCTGACCTGGACAATCGGATATCAGGAATTATAGATGACAGCAAAGCAGCACTGAGGCTGGGTTTCATTTCTGTCACAAGTCAAGAACTCACTGCAGCTCGACTGGCCGTCCAGTCTCCAAATATCCAATATTCCTGCCTTCTCTTGCAAATAAGTAAAACTGGCACACCTTTAATCAGCCATCGACATAAGCGGTGTAGCAAGGACTGGGCAGAGGCCGAGATTTTAGGCGGTATTGTGGAGAAAACACAAAGTGGTCAGCAGTTTCTTTCATAGTCACAGATAATTATGTCCCTGGCTAACATAATAGCTTTACTCTGTTTCTATTCTGCAGTAATTTAATAACTGTGTAATTATATAAATCAACGACTCAACTACCAACTAAGTTTTGCACTTTGCTGAGACCGCCTATCTTCAATTTCCTCCTCTGTGATGATTGTGAAACTGTGAGCCTGGAGAGGTCAAGCAGAGGTAAGCAGGATGAACTGATGTGGAATGACAGCGAGCGACTCTGCTCCTGTTAGCTCACGGCTGCTTTCACTGAACGGCTAGCACTCAGCATTGCACCAGCCTTTCTCAGCCGCCTGTTCACTGCCAAACAAACACATTTTAACATTTACATTGCAGAAGACATTGTTTGATTATTTCTTCAAGACAAATCTAAGGTATCCACAGTGTCTGCGTTTCTTCAAACCTGAAATTAGCACAAGAACGCTGCTCAAACAAAACAACCGCGAGCGAGCCAACGAGATCTTTTCTGTGAGCAGTAAAAGGAGAGGCACCGAGGAGCTTACGTAGTACTCAGCGTTGAGTCGGGGCAGAGAGGCCGCTCTGCAGTGGGCTTCCAGGCTCGGATAGTCATCTGCGTCCGATATGTTTTCAACCTGCTGCAGTTCAACAAATTCCTGCCGGAAAAAGAGGAAGTAGTACGTTTGTATGCATGTTTGGAGGCAACCCAGCCGACACAGACAGTTGGAGGGTAAAATAACATTTAGCTGGTGTCGGTGTACCTGAGGTCTGGTGGAATACGGCAAATCCTCGGACTGGCCTCTCTGTAGTTTCCTCCGGACTTTGGGCCTCTGCTGTGCTGCCTGAGAGACATCTCCTGACTGGGAATGTTTGATGGCACTGCTCTGGGTTAGTCTGTGTACGAACACACAAGAGCTCGGACTGTAGTATTGACAGCTGATCAGTGCGGTAGGATTAGTTATAAACTTTACAACCATATGGATGTGTCAACTGAATTACAGATTCAGTAAATGCTCCTAACTAACCAGTGCAAACACGATGAATTCCCGTGTGTCAATTGTAAATTTCCATACAGGAAAGTCAATCATTTTTAACAGCCGAATTAAGGGACCTGCTAAAGCCAAGGGACGGGGACAAATAACGAGCTGTTAATGTCGTGTCACCTGAGGGTCGTACCGTCACTGACATAAAGAAGAAATGGTTCCATAAGAAAAACGTCTCGACACAGCAAGGCCATCGATAAAAGGGGTCAAATAATTAAAGATGTTCATAGTGATATTGTAGTGTTATACAATAGCATCAACGGCCAACTTAAATTAATGGTGATATCAGTAGTTTATGAATAAATCTAGAATTATATTAGCCTATAATTTGAATTGCAGAAGCAACAGGACAATGTCAACATAATTATTAAGTTGAATTTATATAGGGTTAAAAGTCAAAGTCAAAATTGCTTCGAGGAAACTTAGATAACAGCGGACTAATTGCACATGGCTCCTACGACAGTTCTGGACCACTCTTACATTTTGTTCATACCAAAGAGGATATTCAAGTGGTTTCATTCATGAGGCCTGTTGTCTTGTACTTAAAGTAAATATTACAATATGAATTAAACAACAGCTCCGCCCATGTTGTGGATATATTATGTGTATATGACAGATAAGACAGTCACTCACATCGTGTCCCTGTTAACCGAGGTGATGCTGGTAGTGGGCAGTGCTTCAGGCTTGGCTTCTGGCTCAGGCTGAGGTGGGAGGGGCTGTTTGGGGCTGCAGATCGGTGGCACTACTTCCTGTATGTGAGGGAGGGGCAGCATAGGACGGAACAACGCCCCCAGTTTACTCTGCAGGACAGATCGACAACAGAGAGAGTTAATGTGGAGGAGTAGGAGGTCAGACAAGCTAATGAAAATCATCTGTCTTAGTGTTTATATTTATTTTAATCTTCAGACTTCAAAAGCCATTTTGGTTAAAAATGGAGGACTGAGAGCTGTAGAGCACAGTGTAGAAGATAAGGCTTATGTTATTTTATGTCTTTGCTTTTCAAGAAATCCTATGAACATATCTAGGGTGAATATCTTAAGACAAGAAGTTTATGTATTGTTGAGTTAGGACTACAAAATCATGTTACACACAAAATGTTACTAACTCGATTTTGAATCAAAATATTGGATTATACCGCTCACTAGTACATGAGTGTTTTCACAACACATTACCTGGTGTCCCCCTGTATGCTGCTGCTGTAGTCTCTTGGCACAAGTCTGCTTATAGTAGTCGAAGATCATTAGAGCTGCGTAGACTTTCCCCACGGTCAGCTCGTTGTCTGGAGGACAGAGCAGAGGGAGAGACAGTTCCTCCATGTGGCCAGTAGATGGCGACAGATGAGCAACGAAATACAACTCAGAGAGGCGGATATGTACAGGATGTTAAAATCAAGGCCCACACTGTAAACAAGCTACACCTTACCAACTTATTTGTCCAACACAAATTGTTTCAAGATATATGAGTGTCAGTGTCTTTAAAGAAGACAAAATAAGACGAGATGAACGAGAGTAGAGAAACTTGAATCAAAACACTTCTTGAAACCTTATAAAGAAGAAAGAGGAAATTAAAAGAAAAGACATTCAAAGATGAAGTTCTAAATACAAACAGGAAGCGGTGACAAGCAAACATCTGGGTTCCAGTAGAGCCCAGGAGAACCCAAACAGGACTATGGCTCACATTTAGGCGGCGTCACCAGCAGGTCCACAGTCTTCTGCGACAGGCTGGGCCAGACTCGGTGTATCTCCCTCTTCAGGTCGGCGTCGCACAAATGCTGCGCCAGGACGCCTGCGGACGGGCCCACAAACATGTCACGTCAAATCTGCACCACGGTCGATCACAGCCTTTTACATTTACAACAGAGCCGTCAGTCGGGCTGCAAGGGGGTTCTGGATTTTGTAGTTTTAGTCGCTCACCAGATGCCAGTTTGATCTCCAGGGCTGTGCGAATCAAGGCCATCAGCGTGGACGTGAAATGCACCGTCCTGTCTTCCGCAATGGGCATGTTCATCCTCACCAATCGCTGAAGGGAATGGAGTGAATCAGGAGCAAACAAGCAAATGAGGGAAAGGAGGCTGCAGTAAAGATGTGACTTCAAGTCAAATTAAAGGATGGTACTTTCTACAGCAACAAAACTCGTAGTTTATGTCTTTCAAATGATAAATAATAATACATATTCTTTTGTATGCATACAGAGGAACTTTACCAGTAATATAAAACAACTGGTGGAGAACATCCAGTTACATGTTGGGGCTGCAACTAATGATTATTTTTATTAACGATCAATAAGTGGATTATTTTTCTGATTACCGTCTTAATCGTTCAGTCGAGACCTTATCAGGAAAGAGTGAGAGAAGCCCGTCACAAATTCCCAGAATAAAATTTGTCTCTTGTTTTGTCTCATCAAAAGTCCATCACCCAAAGATATACAATTCACAATGATATGAAACACATTTCATACTCACATAACTACCAGCAAATGTTCGGCATTCCTGTTTGTTAAATGACGTGTTATATCATAGTGTGGTTGTCGATTCATTCTCACTCACACTACTACTCAATGAATCAATGAATCCTTTCAGTCCATCCTTTTTTTTTAACCTAACAGCGCTAAACAGATGAAGCGCTTTGGGGCTGCTGCTGTTGCTATGACATTTTATGAGGTTTTTCCACCGGAAGCGTAGCATGCTTAAGGCTGAAATATGATTAACATGTGATGCTCAGCACTGTGAGCTCACAGAACATGCAAAGCTCCCACTGCTGCTGGAAACGTGCAGCAGCACGCCTTTGTTCTGAAAACAACGACTTAGAGGCCGGAGGTTGCTGTAAACACACAGCTCTATAGTGAGAAAACTATCCATCAAACTGTTGCTGTAGTTGACACACTGAAAAGATAAGTTCCCATGTTTTCAAGACTATCTTTAAACACATGCAATATGTATATTGAAGGAGTTATAGATGTGACAGCACTGTAAAAGATGGGAGGCAAACTCCAGTCCTCGGTCGGTGCAAATGCTTTCTTAACTTCAGCTGAAGCAAACATAACGTGGGTATCTTTAACATGGCAGTCATGTACAGGTTTATTGGCGGTGTTGTGTGCACTGTAAGAAAAAGGATCCCTACTTTATTTTGCTAACTCAGACTGCTGAAGCCTCATATTGGGTTTGGACTGTTGGTTGGACAAAACAAGCAATTCAAAAAGAGTTCCCTGAAAGGGATGGTTCCGATTTTTCGACGTGGTCACAGTGAGTGTATTATCTACAGTAGATGGCGGTAGGCACGCCCCAGTTTGGAGAACATGATTACCAGCATGGAGCAAAGTCATGTACTGCTGTGGATGGCAGCACCAGCATAAAGAATTTTATCCACCTGAAAAAGTCAGTTTAAATGTACACTATATTCTGAATACTTTTACTGCTTTAGCTAGCTGTCAATCAGCCCTTTCTGAGGGGAACTGAGGCCGTTATCTGCGCTCCCTTAAAAGCCACAGACTGCTTTGACAAAAATTGTAATTTTACCTTGCAGTCCTACTGATGCCTCGATCAGTTTGCTTGTCTGTGTTATTGTGTGACTTTGGTGAATCCAAACTCAAACACCAAAGTCACACAATAGCACAAACCAGCTGTTATTGCTCTGCTCCTGAGCTGGTACTTCTGTCTGTTTCTCCAAACTGAGGGCGTGGCAAGCGCCATCTATTGTAGTTTATACAACGACTATGACCATTTTATAGACCAAATGATGAACTGGTTAATCAACATTAAAACAGTTACTGGCAGCCCTACATTGCAGTGTGCTGCTCAGTACTAAAACCTAGTAATGATTAGTAGCTAATTCTAGGCAGCATAAAGCCTCAATTATGATTAATTCATCAGTATTTCTATAGTATAAAACTTAAAATGTACCACGCATTAATTAAAAAAAGAAAGAAACTAATCAGCATCAAGCCACACCATGCATGGCTTCTGGATCAATGCTGCAATTAATGAATGCGTACATGCATGCTTGAGGTAGTACAGCACATTGACAGTGAGGCTGGGGGGTGGTAGAGACATGTGCTCTTCTAATTAAAAGAAATGTAGAACTGAAAGGCGAAAGCAAAAACCATCAGACACATTTGTGAAAAAAGGAAAAGTGTAGCTGATGGTTCCCTTCAAGGAACAAGTGTATGTACTGTGTGAGCGCAACAATGCAGATGAAGGGGTGGAGAGATGAGAGGCGAGAGGGGGAGGAAGGGGAGGAGAGTGTGCCTTAACTGGAAAGCATCTACGCATGTAAAGTCTTGCATCTTTTTCCCAGAAACAGAGAGTGGAAGAATGGCAGCTGCAGACCACGAGCATCAGACAAATAAAGAAACATATCATCAAAAAAAGAAGCACCTATGCATATAGAACGCATGCTTGTCCTCACACACACACACACACACACACACACACACACACACACACGTACATGTGCTGAAGTTAGGATGAAGAAGAAGAAGAGAGGGAACAGATCCCTGGAGAGGGTGAGAGAAAGATCATCCAAAACAGAGGGTGAAGCTCAGCCTGAAGACAGAACATGAGACTGGAAACGAGAGGGTAACGGTGAGCACCAGGGGACGACGTGTTCATTAGGGAGGTGAACAAAGAGCGCGATCAACAGAGTAGTGTGAGGGGAGGAGAAATAGAAAAATAGAGATGGGGAAATAAGCCTTGCTATCAAGTGCATTGCTGGTCTCTCTCTCTCTCTCGCTCTCTCTTCATGCCTTTCTCTGCCGATTCACAAAAACTGGAGTTATATTTGGATACGTGACCACGTCAGACCCAGACATTTTTTAACTGGGGCAAGGGCAGGGCCGTTTTAACTGTGATGTATTTAGACAGCTGTGCGTGCACTGAAACCATACCCATCAAGTCTGCATGCTAAGAGGTGAGCAGCTGGCACAGGGACTACCTGAGGATTGTTGACTTCACTAATAACAGTACATATAATCACGGGATAAATGTGCTAGTTTCTCCTTCATTTAAGTCAATGCGGAAGCTGAGAAATCCCTCAATAATACCTCCTTTGCCAAATCTTCCATTTAATTTCACTGAAATCTGTGAGCAGGTGTTTACATTTTTTGGCCTTTAAGGGGATGGATAAACTCCAAAACAATGACCTATGTTCACATCCAGCACACACATTTGGAGTTGAGGTGCTATTCCACGTTATAAATCGACATCAATATTCACTCTCATTTTAACTCTAGTTTAGCAACTTCACCAAATTCAGTCGCATTTATCCTTATTCATGGGGTCCATGAACTTTGTCTGGCAGAGCAGTGCCTGGCACAGTCTGTGGGAACATTGGTTTTTGCCCCGGGCAAACATTTTACTATTTCAGGCAGACTGTAGACATCTGTGAGAACACAAAAATGCAACCTGGTGCTTGATAACAGGTAAAAATGTAAAAGACTTTTACCCGCAAAGATTTGCATACAAGCACAGAGTAGCCTACACTCCTGACATCATAAATGTGGCTAAGTCTCTACCAACTCCTGGAAAGCTGCCACATGTTCCACTTTCCTCTCCAGATAGTCGCTACGTTCGTCCGTCTGTCCCTTGATGCTGGGCAGCTAGAGTCCACAAGGTTTATTAGCTTGTTTGCTGAAAACAGCTGCTGGCTGCTGCTAGAATAAGGGTTGATGAGAGTGCAGAGACATGCTATTAAACCAAACCTACAAGCTGAAGCTGACTGAAAAGGCTAAGTGGAGATACGTCAAATGTTAAACTTTTGGCCTCTGGTAGATGAAATGCACAAACAAACCTCATAGAGCAACACACAGAGCAACACACAGAGCTTCACAGATGAACATAAAGAACAACACGGCAGCAGGCCGGAAGATACCGACTGTGACACACTGACAGAGGCCTGAAGATGTTTGACAGGTGGAAGCAGGGGAACCAGCAGTGACTGCGAGAGGGAGGGGGATGGAGGAGAGAGGGGTGATTCTACCTTATAGGCGACTCGAGGAGGACATTTCTTTCCCAAACCTAGCGGAGGGGACATGTCGCGGAGCATCTCGTACATATCGCGGTAAGTTATGCGGCCGCTTCCCGGGGGAAAGATGGTAGAAGGCCATGAAAGGAGGAATGAAGAGTTCCCCCGGTGATGGAAGGTTGGGATTAAACGGGGTACATAAAAAACAGAAAGTGACAAAAATCCAAAAGAGAGAATGGGAGGGGAAGGGAAGAGGAAAACACAGAAATCCTTGTTAATTCGATTTCCAGGATATCATGGTCTGGATTCAGGAATGGATTCCAGGAGGAGGAAGGGAGGATGATCCAGAGGTATCCCTGTGCAGAGATACTGGATGGATGGGGAAGATATGCATTTGGGAACGAGAGTGCATTTTACGATAAAGACTTAATACACCGAAAATCTTTTGAGTATCAAACATTCACCCTCTGAAGGCTCTGAAAAGTTTGTACAATGGACTCCAATGGTAACCTAGTCTGGCTATGCTCCAACAACCTTTCCATCAGATAACAGTGAACAGTAAGTGATATCATCTTTTATTGGACACATTATTCTTCCTTGTTAAAACCTTGCGCCTTGAGACAATTGACACAGTTCAGAAAGGACGTACGGACACTGAACATGTGGATCAACAGGGGAGAAGTGGATTATGCTGGAGGAGTGGTTGGAAAACTTTCTGTGGATGTTTTGATGTTTTCTCTCTAGCTTTTTTTTAAGTCACTGGAATCCATTATAAATCAATCTGACTACAGGGATTCCCCTCATCAAAGGAGCAGCTACAAACTTTTCAGAGCTACCTTTCAAGGTTATTATTTCAGGGTCTACAGATAGATTTTCAGTGGAGTACTCCTTTAAGATGCCCTCTGTTTCTGCATGCTAAGAGACACTAGCAGTAACCAGCAGTTAGTGGAAACAAAGCACACAATGCTCTCTCTTCACGTCCCACTCTTCAATCACTTCCTGTGTTCAGAAGCAGGGGAACATATTAGACATCGCATTCGACGCCTTTTGTTTGAGCCTGACTTGCGGCATTGTTTCCTGCACTCGCCATGGTTACCTGCTAGCTGGTCAGTGGAGAGTCGATGCATGTCTGTATGCATGTGTGGTCGGGGCACCGCAGGGAATGAGAACAGACATTCACAGTCCGAAACCATCATCACAGTGCCTTTGAAAACAAAAGGACTGTGTGGGAGTGCAAACCTTATAAGCAACCCTGTTGGGGCACTTCTTCCCCAGGCCCAGGGGAGGCGAGATAAAACGCAACAATTTGTACATATCCTGATAGCATATCCTCCCGCTGTAAAAGATAAGACATGTTTAGATCACAGGTTAATTCATTACATATAGGCAATGTGTTACTTGTTGGCTGGCAGTAACACATAGGGAATAACTAGAGAAGCCGCAGCATGAAGAATACAGTAGACTATTGTTTCTGTTTTTATTTTTCTGACTAAAACTGTGATTTTATTGGAGTTTATTTTGACTATTGAAAGATGTAAAAAAAAAAGAATCACATTTTCTTTTACTTTTTCATTATTTTTTTTGCTCATCACAAAAGACCTCAGGGAAATTAGAAATATTTAGTTTTTGAGTGGCTTTTAGAAACATATTTTGTTTCAATAGGTGAAGGAGTGAAGTTTAAAAATAAATTTAAATTTGAGTTCTCATTACATTTTGTGAAAGTAAAAAGTTTTTACTTTCTTTCCCCAGTGTAAAGGTCTAACTTTTGGTTGAAAGCCCACTGTACACTTTCAGGAATACATTTCTGCTAGAGAATCCTTCATTTATCATTATTTTTGTTCTCTGTAAAGTGAACTAATATGTACATTTCTAGTTGTACAATGTAAACTTCCCCTTTAAAACCCACACATTCCCCCAAACAAGGAAATGGTTACGGTCGTGTGTTTACTGGAAACTAAAATGGTCGTTTTCTTCATGCAGCAGAAATCACAACAACTTTTGGATGTGCAAGGGACAGAAAACTGTAGAATCAGTTGAAACATATCTGCTCCTTTTACAGAAATATGTGAAAACAAGTCTAAATAAATAAATAAATAAAGAAAAAAAGAGCACTGAGTATACTGCTTCAACCTGACATAAAAATGAGTTAAAGCAGTTGAAGATCAGCTACTGTAAATACATCTGAGAGCAGCTAATGTTTATTCAAAGGAATAAATAATAAGTCCTCCCCCGTAATGTCTGTCAGGAGATGGCAATTTCATATTTCACATCTCACACCTCTCCTGAAGTCCTGACTCACTGACGAGGCTCCCGTGAAGCCTTCGTTACAATTTAATGAGCCTTACATAATCTGAGACAGATTACTTCTCACACTTTCTCACGCAGAACTAGCATTGTGCTTCAGTCAAGTTAAACACCGTCGGTGTAAGGGGCAGAGAGGGCGCTGACATCAACCTGTATTACCCCCGTTGGAGGGATAGAAATACTTTCTCTTCACACTGCAGTGACAGACGGAGGAGATTTGGAGCCCGCCGGCTTAGAGGCACAGAGGGCTGAGCGGACGCCAAGCGGAACGCTGGATTTACATGCATCACTCCGGCCGACAGGGGGCTCGTCACCAGCCTCAGCCAGATCTGGGCTCAGGCTTAATGTCATTCACCCGCCGCCGCTGAGATGGGAGTTCTCCAATTCCTCAAAACAGAGTCATCCTGCTGGAACTGAGAGCTTAGAGTTCCCCGTTACCTAGCACACCTCTCTTCCAAAAGCAAACACCCTCCTCTTTAACACTGACTGATAATAGGGGCTATGTTGTAGCTGTACAGGTCAGAGATCAGCGGAAGCACTTACCAGGCTGCAGGGTCGTACTCCGCCCACACGCGGATGAATTCGTCAAGGTGATGAGGTCCCAGGATGGAGGCGTCTCTCGTCAGATACTCAAAGTTGTCCATAATGACAGCGACAAACAGGTTCAACATCTGGAGAATGTTTCAAATAAATTAATAGTCAAGAAAGGCAAGTCCCAAATTAAGTCCAAAATCAAGTTCCAAGTCCTAAGTTTTGAATTACGAGTACTTAAGTCATAATGCACTCTTCCCATAATAACAATGCAATTTCAACAACAGAGTAATAATATTTTAGTTTTCCAAAAATCCTGAATGCTTTGTATTTGTATTAAGTTGTTAAAACAAGTGGCACTTTTTAATCAGTGGGCCTGGGGGGGTATCAAGTATTTACAAGTCAAAAGGCTTAAGTCAAACTCACAAAGTCTTTAAGTCTTTTTTTTTTACTTTGCTGAGTCTAAAGTCATCAAAGTTGTGACTCGAGTCTAACTCAAATCCAAGTCATGGAACTCGAGTCCACCCACACCTGTGGTTTTTACACGACAGCCCAAAAGCTGCAAACGGTTACTGTAAACCTTCTACTTGTAGGTTCATTTCCCACCTGTTCAACTGCATTGACATCACTTTGCTATTGTTGGCAACATTATTTTTGGGGTTTAATCTAAAACCAATGCATGCAATTATCAGTTTATTTTGATTATTTGCATCAATCAATAATACAAGGTGAAAATATAAAAATACAATTTACAATTGAACTGTTTGTTACTTGAACATATTTGATCTAAGTTTTATAAAGTTCATCAAAGTTCCAACTAGTAGTTGATCTTTGAAAAAAAGCTAAACCGTATAGTTCCTGTCAATGACAACACTCAATATGACCTCTGTCTTCCTTCACACTGACCAGGAAGGAGCAGAGGAAGATGAAGGAGACAAAGTAGAAGTAGCCAAAGTCACTCCCACACTCCTTCCCCACGGTTCCTGAGAGACTATCACACGGCCGGTTACTGAGACACGCTAACATGATCTCATGCCACGCCTCGCCTGTCGCACTCCTGAAACACACACAGTGACGGGGAGTGATCAGTTTGTCCTGGATTATTTGTGGCACCACATTTTTTTTCAATAAATGGAGCAGGGATTACCTGAAGAGAAGAGTCAAGGCCTGGAAAAACGTCTGGAAGTTGTTGTGGTGAGTTATTGCCGTGTCCTCATTCAGCTCGATGTTTCCAAACACCTGAGGCAGCAGGAGAGCAGGTGATGTTATTAAATGTAAACCCTAAAATAAAAGCCCTACTCTACTGTTGTAATGAACTACTGTAACACAGAGACTATAACAGAGTTCTGCACAGTCCTCAACCTGAGAGCCAAACACAGCCCTGGACACGTATCTTCTCTATCAGCTTCTCACTTTGAGTGACGGAATCCAACATGAACACATGTTCTTTCTTCCAGTTTGGATTATTTCACAGGACAGATTTTTTTTCTCCTTTCTTACTGAGGTGGGAGTGCCTCAGTTGGAAAACACAATGTCACATACTTGGGTGCACCAATCAGGACTAAGAAACTTTTCAATCAGAATCTGATGATGGCCGGGGGGTTGTTTGGTTGCTGTCAGTCAAATCGGATCAAAGCACACCCACACTTCCCCAACGAAGCAGATTATCATCATTATACTTAAAAATGTATTATATAGCTATAAATATGTTATAGAAGATAGTGAACCAAGTTATTTGGGGCTTAAAGTTCCGACACAACTGAACCAACCAGTTCAGAATTTGAGGCCAACAACTATTATGTTAAATTATCATCAGCATTATTTGTCAGGCAGAGCATTTCTTAGAAATTGTTATTGGTTGCCCTTGTACAAACTGCTTTGGCTGCACCGAACTTTACATTAAGATTGTGACAATAGATGAGAATAAAAGCATATTTCTCACTAAAATCTATATGTTTTTTTGTAATTAGCCATTTTATTTAATGTGTTTTGCTATTTTATTGATGTATAAATTGTATGCATTTATCATTCACCTTTACTATCACACAGTTGATGTATATATGCATTGTCAGCATGTTTTTATATCCAAACTCCCATGCCAATAAACTGTCACTGATTTGAATTGAAATTGAATGTAGAGAGACTGAGAGTTGATAACTGCCACAGCCTGTGATGTCCCACTGTGAGTCTAGTAAACAACCCGGAGGTCTCTTTTTAAATATGTATTTGCCCCTCGGCATGTCCTTCCTGCTGGGCCCAGGAGAACTCTGACAGCAGTCAGATATGTGTGCAGCATCTTGACCATGTACGTCAACAGCAACTGATGTTTTTCAGCACACACACTGTGATAATCTTGTATGTAAGATGAATAAAAAGTAGGTTTCAGCCGGCTCTAAAAATGGACAAAAAGAATCCACTTTATAATCAAACACCTGTACAATCGTATGCAATCCAACGCAAGAGCCATGCAATATGGTTGCATTGGTTTATATAATATTACATTTTCATTGAGACTGTGTCAGAGATGTGTGGATGCTCTCTGTTAGAGGCAGAGGTTCGTTGTTAGTGCTGTACTGAAGGTACAGTGGTGGTTACTGCAGGCTTGTTGTGTTGGATTGGTATTTTACAGATGTGACTTATATTGTCATCCTCTATTTGTCTCAAGAGGAGAGATGGTCTCAGTTTGTGGAAACTGCTGATATTCGAACATATTATACCTGACCAACAAGTCCTCATACCTAAACAACATAATAGGTCATATGCCAATGACTCCCAAAACAACATTTATGATCGTTCTATTTGATGTTGTGAAACGGTCACAGTTTAAAATATGTGGTTAACATTGTGAAACTAACTAGTTGGTTATGTTAAGGCAAAAATAAAGTTACTTGGTTAGGTTTAGGGAAAGATCTTTTTTTTTTTAGTTAAAATGAGTTTGTAACATACGTGACTTAGCCTAATATCTGACATTGTATGTGAAGTGGTTACATACAAACATAGTTACTTATGTAACTTAAAATAACTCGACGTGATGACTTTTGGTTTTAGGACACGACCCGCGGTCTCCTTGGTGAAAGTCCTGTACTTGTTGGACCCACCCCATTCACCCCAACCTCCTCCCTACTTAGTCGCTTGACAAACACCAGAGACAAAGTTTCAGTCAACAATTAAATCACCTATCATAAACCAGTGCTAAGCCCACACTAAAGTAGTTAACAAATGATAACTGATAGTTTAACCACACACAACCACGTAAGCTAAGCTGTATCTACATTGTTACTTTCTTGTTTCTGGTCATGTTGTAATGCATTATGGCCCACATATTCAAGTAATTCTATTTTTCTTTTATTCTGGCCGATGTGGCTGCTGATGTACTTCTTCTTATAATAATAAAGGTGTCTCTAATAGAATAGGTAAAAACACCTGTGGAGGGGTATCATGCTTGTGTAGGGACTTTCTAGGAGGCATCCATCACTCAATCATTACAGTCCGACTCCCTTTTGTCCAGCTGGCATTGTCACAACTCACCTGCATTCCAATGATGGCATAGATGAAGAACAGCATGGCGATGAGCAGGCAGACATACGGCAGGGCCTGAATCCAACACATCAATAACAGGTTAAAGACTTCAGAGCACAAACAACCTCTTTCTCTTACACAAACACACACTTACTCTTTTGATCTCTCCGTCTGTCTCCGCGCGCGCGCACACACGCGCACACACACACACACACACACACACACACACCCCCCCCCCACCCCACCCCTAGGGCCCTTGTAAGATTTTACAGTCTTATTTAAAAATCCGAGCAGTCAACCTGAGCTGCGAGGTCGATTCTTTTAACCAGCTATTTATATCGCAGTGGGGAGGAGGCGAACATTTGTTGTAATTAAATAGCCACCTTTTAACACTCAGCAGCTACTGTCCATTTTCATTGGGCTTAAAAGCTCTCACCACTGACATTAAACCTGCTATAAATTCCCTCGGCCGCAGCCCGGCGCTCCGCATTTAACTCAACTTGTCCCAGGGGATTTAGAGAGCAAACCGGCACCGGCTGAAAATCTGAACTGCTTTCTGCTGAGAGCTATTTCGTTCGCCCTTTCTTTCTTTCTTCCATTGTCTATTTCGTGTGATATTCTTTTATTCAACTATGAATCAATCTAATTGACAAACACGGCACTAAAATATCTATTGAAACAATCCACATCTGCCTTCTTCTTCAATTGTGTCTTTCCTGACTGAATTATTTTCATCCCTGACTGTAAAACCCTTTTTGTTTTGAAAAATGCGTCATAAATCGAGTTTACTTACATACTGTGTGCGTGTTTAGGTCACCGTGTGTGGTGGCTCACCTTGAAGGACTGAACAAAGGTCCACAGCAGGATGCGGATGGTGTAGCCCTGCCGCAGCAGCTTGATGAGACGAGCCGCTCTGAACAGCCTCAGGAAACTCAGGTTGATCATCTTGTCCTGGGAGAGAAAACAGAGACTCTGTGAGGTTTTAAAATAAACACGGGATCAAAGGATTCAAAGCCATCCTATGTAAGAAAAACTGACACACTTCATTTTACAGATAACCTCATAAGCAATGAAACACCCCCTTGCTCAAGGTTTTCCTTTTTGCAAATATTGCTGTAGAGCAATATCTGAGACAATTCCAAGGGCTGGATCCCCATCAGAGTTTTTCATTCCCTTTCCCTTAAATGTTTAATTCAAGTCGAAGAGTTAAATACTTGCAATGCAAAACATGCCAGTCTAAACCAAATTCATATTGTATAGCATCTAAAATAGTGTTCGACACTGTCACGGGGCATGATGGAGGACTCAAACGCAGACCAGAAGTAGAGTGAAGTGGGAATTTAATGAACACTTACAAGAACACGCAGGGAATCCAGGGACTAGACAAGAGACGAGGGGACAAATCCAGTAGGACAAGGCAGGGCAGGCAGACGTGGGAAACCAGCAACAGGACAAGACAAACGGGCGGGTAGAACACAAACAATGACCTGGCAGTGAGTGACAGTGGGTACTTCAAGTCTCTTAAGTGTCGTTTCCTCGCTCCTCGATCCTCACTTGAACCGGAAGTTGTTTCTGCGGCGCCATATTGACGGCCGTCCCAAAGCTCTAATGTAGCTCGGAGGAGCGAGGATGGAGGATGGAGGAGGGACCTCGGAGGAGCCATGACCGAGGACCCACGAGAACAGACTTCCAGGAAGTCTTTTTACGGCCGACACGCCCCCTCATTGTTCATCAGTTATGTGATTGGACGCTGCAGCCGATTGGACTGACTGACTGAGTTTAACACCAGAGTGAAGACAGATCACAGAATAAACTCAAGCTTTATATTTGATTCGTTTTCTGATTCACCATCTGGTTTAAATAAATGTTCATTGTAGTCTGAACAACAAAACGACCACAAACAACTTTCTTCATTTATTAGAAAGATTTGTGTTTTCATGAGCTGATGTTTCCCTCAATAACTTTTATTATGAATACAATTAAAGTCAGAGAGAGCTGGAGAGACGAAACACTTTTTACATCATTCCTGAGTGTTTGATGAGTTTTATCATTTAAGAGAAACAATAATCATATTCTGGGTTATTTAATAATGACGCCACAGTCACAATTTCAAAACGTACAGACGCAAATAATTCATAAATAAGATGATCGCATTCCGCCGGTATAAATGGATCCTGTGCTTATAAACAGAACACAGGACAGTTTGTTGACAGACTAGAGAGAGAAACACCTCTACAGTGGTGATTACTGTGTGTCTTTATTAGTTATTAGTATTATTAG